TGACACCATGAGTCAACTCGGTGACAGTCGTCTTCACTCTTTGGTAACAACTTGTGTAGCAAAACTTGGTGTTTTCATAGCAAATTCACCGAAGTTGTCAGCAAGTTGGCCAGTGGTGTAGGCGAATTCACCAGTGGTGTTGGAGAGTCCATTGTCATTAAAGTGACCAATACGCAAGAATGGCAGAGATTGAAAAATTCGGATTCAAATTTTGGGGATGGACCATCCATGATAAAGCCCCTGAAAACGTCTCTTTCCTGATTTGCAAATATAAATTCTCTGCAATTTCTGCCATTCATTTCTTATAATTTCAGGTGTTAAACTAAACAATATCCCCTTGTTTATGTTTGTATTCATTCCCAATACCTCTCTGCCTGAAGGTGTTTTGGTACTCACTCCTAGAATTGAAAGGTTAACATTCCAAAAAAAAAAACAAAGAGATTTGTTAATTCATTGACCCCTTTTACCCCTACAAGTGATTAGCATCTTAATTCTCTTTACAGTATTGCTGCAAAATCTCACATTAAGGTCACAAGAATAAAAGAAATGATCACCAAATAAAAACGCTCTTGACTGGTAAACAAATTCTCTTTGTCTACATCTTGGGAAATGTATAAAGAACAGTATAGAGAATATGCATACTAATGTTAGGTTGTGAAGGGTGAACAGACCTTGAGTGGGCCTCAGCTTCTTGCGCTTTGGCCAAAGCTGCTGCAGACTGGAAGGATGGGGGTCCCTCATGTGGAGGAGGTGCAGTGGAGTATGACACACTGCTTGACTGACTCTGTCGTCTGCGTGCATGCACTGGGTTCTCAAACTGAGTCTTTCTGTTGACATGACTGTAAAGGATACGAAATAACTACTATATTATTAAATGTTTGCTTGCCACCTTTGAAATACAGTATTTCTAAATTACAAAAGAATCTGTGGGGAAGAGAAAGACGTTTTTTCGTCTTGTCACAAACTTGTCACTAGAAAGTCTAACCTCTTATTAATCTTCAATGAAGGTGTGTACAAACCATACTTTACATAAAGAAACCATTTAAGCTGTTCACCCTTGAGATCTCAAGAGCAATTCTCTTTTCCATTTTTTTTTACATTTCTTTCCAACAATTTTTACCTTTGAGAATGTAGTGTAAATGAAATAGTCTAGTCAATGTTCCTTTCCTGAAAATGAATTGATATTGTGTGCAGAAATGACATTTTGATCACTCCTGGGAGTGAAGGAAAAGGTAACGTTTGCCTTAAGCCTAGCAGCAACCCTACCCAGAGCCTTGCCCAGTTTCCTTCACATAAAGTGTTACCACTCCCAACTGAATTGGGGGGGGGGGGGGGGGAGAGAGGGGGGGCAGTCCCAAGGTACCCCCTACCCAAGGTACCCCCTAGCATTTCATCAGCTCATTTGTTCCCAATCTATACTCCTTGTTGCAGAAAAGATCTCTCACAACACAAAGACACAACTACTTCTTGAACTCAGACCTCTCAGCCTGGAATTCAGCATGTTCACCAATAAGCCACCTCTTTCCTGGGAGTAATGGGTTATTTTATATTTTACGGCAGGAATCACACACTTACTCTATGTAATATGTTCCATATTTGGGATCATCTACTCTTTCCCAGCCATAGGGCAGTTCTGAAAGGAAAAACAAACCATTTACATGTAAAGCTGTTTGCAGTCAACAGTACAAATATCATGCATCTTAAAGCTATTATCCATTGATCAGAAGTTTTCTTCCTAATATTCAAAGGAAGCTTAATGGAAAAACAATGGTACTCTCAGGAACATGATAAACCCACCTCCCAAAAAACAGGAAACAAACTACATTCCCAAAAATACTGATAACGTACCATCCTCGTCACAATCATCAACTGTGGCTTTCTTCACCTGTGCCATTCTTGGGTCAACCCATTGAGTGGTGCCAGTCCTATGACTGAAATAGTAAATAATAAGATCTTTAGTCTTTCTCTTCACTATAACAGGGATTTCAATAACTTTTTAGCATAAGCAGCTGTGCCCAGAAAAGGGACCACAAGTAACCTTTGTCCAAGAGGGGGGGGGAAAGAAAGAAAGGGGGAGGGAGAGGCTCCTTCCAAAAAAAAATTGAAATCTAGAAGCTTGAAATGTAATTTCCAGTGTTCTATATACAGCTGCTTAAAATAATTCTCTTATTAACAAGTATGTAGTTTGTCTGTCAACCCTGAGTAGTCAGAATGCTATTGCTGCAACTTATGTTAGTGAGACCCAAACAAGTGAGCCTGCTCCTTAGCTAAAAAGACAGCTATAAGAGGTTTAATGGGTAGCAGAAGACTGCTGGTAACCAGCTTTGATAGAAATTTCTGCTTTGAACTTAATTCAGCTGTATCTGCAGATAATTTTTATCATTCAGATAGTTTTGATGCCTTCAGTCCCAGACCCCTGTCACTGTCTCCAGTCCCAGACCCTTTTCACACCAAGTCAAGTTGTCACTCATGGGAGTTAAAGCTTAACAATCAGTCTGATCTGTAAACCATACAGGTATAGCTGAACACTTAAGCAATACTTACTCTATAAAATACTTGACATTATCCTCAGTGTATGCAACTTCCCAGTTTGGTGGCAGTGGTCCGAGATTATCTGCTATTCTTGGTCTCCCCTTGTCTTCTGTTGCCTTCCCCTTAGCCGGCACAAAGATCATGTTATCAGCTGGCAGAGGTTCCCTTGGTGGTTTTGGTGTGCCATAGTGGTTCCCTTCGTAAATTCCACTTTCAAGAAGGCTGCCACTTCGTTCTAACCTTGCAAACTCCTCCAAGGAGAGAAACACATAATCAACTCCTGGTATTTCACCATTTCTTGGGGATCGTGTTGTACCTGTCCAGTAAGAAGAATTTAAGGTCAAATTTCATAACAAATATTATTATAAAACCAGTATAGCCCTACAAGAGCCTTTATTGAATAAACATCATACAAAATTCCTGTATGAGAGTTGTACATGGTGACACAAGCAAGACTAGAAAGAGGCGTATGACCTGCAAGTTCTAAGCTTAAAGATTAAAGACAGAAAAATGAAGAGCAACAGTCATTTGATAAAATGCTTTTTGACTGATTTAGGCGGAGTCGGAAAATTTTACACAGTTGGTATTTTGACAGTAAACTTTTTATACAAGCAATGGACATCCTTCCCTACACAATGCAAAAGAAATATTCAAAGAGTTGCAAACAAAAAAAAAGCACCATAACTTTAGAGTTCAAAGACTTGACAATCGCGTGAAAATTTGAGAACTGAGGTAAAACTTACATGGTACTGTCCTGTTGTAAAGATTTTCTCTGATGGTTTGCTGCAAGTCACTATCCACTGAAACTTTGTCAAATCTGGTTGAAAGATATTTCTGCAAGTCTCTTGAAATTTGTTCTCCTGTAACAAAATAAATGAATAATGGAAAGTATAATAAAACTCTGCATAGAAAATTTGAAAATTACTTCCCTTTGGCTTGTGATTATGGCATTCCTGGGGGCTGAATGTTTTTTTTTTAAATAATATTTTCATTTTTTGTCATGTTGAAGATAATTGTTCCAGTAGCCTACTTGCAAATTTATTAATTGATGTATTCTCCCAGCAGTTCTACCCCATGCAGCTTATTAACCTATTAATCCCTTAGAGTGATAAGCATCTAATTTCTTCCATGAGAATAAAGGAAATGATCGCAAACTCAAGAAGCTCTTTATTGTTAAACAACTTCTTGTAAGAACCATTGATACAGATTGTTTGAAGATTTGTACAGAGAATTTGCATTCTGATGTTAGGATGAAAAACTAGCCTTCTTTTGTTCTTCCCAACTTCCTATACATACTCTCTAAGTTTGCATCTCACATGGAACTTGACAAAGAGCAGAATCAGTGTAAATGCAATTATAAAATAATTAGTGACACAATCATAAACAGTCTGGGATTATCAAGATTCCAATTATTCTCACCCTCTACAAAACTACGCAGATAGCTTGCAGCATTGACTCAACTGAGTATATCGGAATATAGCAAATAGGAATAAATAATTTGGTTTATCAACTGAGTCGATAATGTAACTTCACCACCACAAAGACTTCTTAAGCTGATGTTTAAAGCATTAGCCCTTATCAGAGCAAATGATAAAAAAATGTCAGCTTTGAAACTCTTTATGATGGCTAATTTACATCACCAACTTGGTTGATAAAAGAAAATTTCCTGTTATAATCCCTCACTGATACAACACTAAGGTTTCTTTAGAAACTTACCCCTTTTATTCCTAAGAAGAGAGAATATTTGTGAAATAAACTTTTCAAACTTTATGTCAAACTAAAAACGGTCATACAAGGAGTACACAATATTCAATATAAATGCTGTAATTTGCCATTAACACAGAATTAATTTTCCTCTTTACGGCAAATTAAGAACTTCAAATTGTATCAATTGTTGTGTGGATGAAGTGTTCTGATAGATTCATGAAAATAGTATGCAACTCACATACTAAGAAAGTCTTTTGGAACTTTCAAACATGAAACTATTTGTATACTAAGGACTTAATAAGCTCATCATTATTTTTTAATTTGTGGGCAGGCTTGGAATGTTGTCCTTAGAAAAACCTTTAAATAAGTGTAGGTTGCAATATCATAATATCACGATAAATCAATTACTGATGAAAAAATAACGTTGCCTCAAAAGTCTTAATTTCAGTTTGATGTGTAAGTCAGAGTCTAATTTTAAGGGAATACCACAAGGAAAAAGCCACGATTGCCCAAGCCACAGGAACGCAACATTCATGTTTAATCCTTCAATTGAAAATTATGTTCAATGACCCACATAATATTGGTGACACATCAATCTGTAATATCATCATCAATAATAAAGCTTCCCTTACGAAACATTGACAGCTATAAGTATTAGTTTCCAAACAGAGGCAAATCCGATCACAGTTCCCGTCTCAATAAAAATAACAGCATGGTTCATTGAAAGTTTGGATTGCATTTTTTTGGGTTCGTGCGGATCAGATACAGGGAAATTCATGAGATTCCGCAGGCATGCGTTTCTGATGCCATTACGGAGGTATTTCATCTAACATTCCAATTAAACTCGATTGCAGGATTTTAAACAGCTTGTTCGAATTATATGTAATTATCGACATCACACGCGACAACTTATACTGCAAAAATCCATAAGTTAAGATTGATAATGTCGTGATTAGCTCTGTATCGGTTGTGTGAGCTCATTGAAAGATATACAAGTGGTATATCGTGATTAATGTTAACGCAAACACTTATTCTAACCTGGCTTTACAATGCGAAGAGTTGCAGCTTCCTTCGAACTCTTGATCAAAGGTAGCACATCGAATTGAGTATAACCAGCCACAGGAGTTCCATTGATTTCCAAAACTACATCTCCAGGTTGAATTTTCCCTCGTCTGTACCGTAATCTATCTTGTTTAACGTCCCCAATACAGATAAATTCGCCATTCTCTGCACCTCCTACAATATGAAGATTGAAATTTCCAGTCTTAGGTCCCCTCAGAAGAATGCATTCGTGGACGTTATAAGACCAGTGTTTTCCTTTACGAGGTAAAGAATTGCGTAAATTGGGAAGACTCGACATTCCTTGACGATTATGATCGTGGATCTGCTGGATAAAACATTTCAAATAGTGTCGACCAGCATTGAATTCGCAAGAATATATAAACAGTGAGTCACCGACGCTAAACGTATCACAGGTCAATTACGCATGCTCAGATCTCCCTGTATGCAAATTTTCGAGTAAATATTTCCCATTCTAGTAACGGTGGGTTGCATATTTCTCATGCATGTCATTAGGAAGTAACAGAAAAAAATAGTTCTCAACCCCGAAAAGAGCTTTTTTTTTTCTGTCCACCAAAATAGCGATGAAAAAATGTTTTGCTAGTAAAATAGCTAATAAAAGTTTCTACTTCATTTACTCCCCATTGTAACATACCTCTTAAACAAAAACATGAATTGGGTCGGCGGAGCGCGGTGAGTTTATCTCTAGGAGCAAAACAACAAAACAACTCAAATGTGACCATAATATTGCCCATTTGTGGCATCAAGACAAAAAAATTACTCAGTTAAACTAAAATATTCGCAGAATTAGTCCTAAACTCTTGTTAAAAAATCAAATTTTTTTTCGTCACTGGCGCGAAACGCTTGCACGTTCTCCTTTTAGTCTGGAATGTGTGAAACGCCAATTTTGTTGAAACAATACGTCTTTTTTAGAGAATTATTTGATTGTTTAGCGGTTTGTGTTAGAGGAGCTATTGGTCTTCTGTTCTTTAAATTAGTTCCGTTGGGGGCCTGCGCGGTTAATTACGTTTAATGTCTCATTTATTATCAACTTGCAAATATAATCGATTCAGAGAGGGCGGATTACAAAGTGAAGCTTATCATAGTTGATAATCCGGTATGAGATAAGCTTATTTGTGTTTGCTAAGCGGATGAGTTTGCGATACTTTTATCTTATATCTCCAAAAGTTTGGATCGTTGTCAAAATTAAAGGATATCAAAATTTTGTTAGATGGCAATGGCACAAGAGAATTGAAAAATTTATCTCGGCTGAATTTCGTGGTTTTTCCGGATCATTTAACCTGTCGCATAGTAAATCATTTGGGTGAGTGGATGAAGCATAAGTTTACTCAAAGTGAGTTATGTTGTCCACAAAATGTCCACACCCACCCGAAGGGTGCAAGATCTCAAAAGCTCCTCTCTTCTCCAAGGAATGTAAATTTCTAGGTGGCAGAAAGCTGTCGCCGTCAAAAACGAAATTAGGACATAGCTACAGGAATACGGGCCTTTTAACTCAAAGGCAATTAAATTAAATGAACCAATTGGAATTTTCTGGAGGGTCAGAGTCATGTGAGAGAGAGAGGATGCTTGTAGTATGATTAAGAAAACAAACGAACGAACGAACGAACCGAAATTAATTTTGTACTTTACTTCTTCAACTCCAAGAATGTTATCTTTCTGCAAGTTACTCATTTTTTTTTCATTTTTTCTAGGAGCCGCCTCAAGCTTAAACATGAGACAAAGTTGCAAAAGGTAAAATTCAAACACCTTAGTTTGCAATGTGATTAAAAAAAATTTAATCGGATTTTTGGGCATCAAAATGTTTTATTTGTTAAAGATCTGCTTATACTTCTAACTGGCGTTCTTCTATGGCTTCTTACCCTATAAGCTTAATCCTTTACACTCTAACATCAGTATGCATATTCTCCATACTGTTCTCCATATATTTCTTAAGGTGCTTACAAGGAGAAAATGTTTGACAATTGAAATTTCTTTAGTTGGTGATCATTTCCTTCATTCTCATGACCCTGGTGTGTGATTCAGGAGTGATATTGTCTGGAGAAATTAGATGCTAATCACTTGTAGGGGTAACAGGATTAAATCAAAATATATTTATACTTCTAAGAGTTTCTTTTCTGTTTTGTTTTGTTTTTTTTTCCTGTGGATTCTTACTGAACAAGCTTAAAACTTAGTTTATATCAATAGGAATATTTTGAAAAGAAACGGCAGCTTAAGAGCAACACCAACACAGCAATATCCCAGAGGGTTAGTAAAGCAACAGCTCGAGCAAGCCAAGATCTCCTTAGTCTGGAAGTGATCATGGCAGCTCACAGGGAGAAGAAGAAGCAGAAAAAAGGTAACTCCACACATAATTCCTAGAGGTGCTAAACTTATAATCTAAAAATCCTTAATCAAAAGTTGTCATTGTTGTTGTTTTTATTTTTATTTTTTAGATAAAAGAGGCCGCACCTCAGAGACCATTGGTCATACCACCTTCAAGAAATCTAGTCAAGCACCATACTTCAGAGAAAGTTCATTGAAGCAGCCACAGCACATATTTCCAGAGCTCTCTCCCATCAGACCAAAGGTGTCAGCTGTAAATCTTGAAAAGGTACTTACAGTCACCACCAGGATCCAAATCAACTCATTGAGAATTTTGCCATCTAAATGTAATCATTTCTCTTGTAGAGTGGGCAAGGCATTCACCTTCACTCAGATTTAGAAAATCAAGAGTGTATCTTCAGCAGAAGGCCTTTATCAACTTTATGCACTGATGGATGTGAATCAAAATCTGACAGACAAATAATAACAGACCACGAAGGAAAGTTTTGTTTAAAGGAAAATGCATTTCCTCTTGATCAAACACATCAAACATTCTGAAGTTGAATTACAGTTTTAAATAAGGTAGCCATAACTTTTGTTACAGAAGGTAATAAATGACTGCATGTTGAACAGTCAATTTTGCAAGTTTATGTTTAAACTTATTATTAACTTAATTGTTGACAATTTTTTAAAAATATTAGGGGTGTTTAAGTGCAAAATTCCAGAATTGAGCTTGAAAAATGTTGAGATCTTATTTGTTACAGCTATAACATACTTTAAAATTTAAATTTATCATAAAGACCTGGAGCAAAACTTCCATATCTGGGAAAAAATAAATTTATTAAAAATTAACTCATTCTTGAGCATTGTTTAGTCAGTGTGTCAATAAACTATTGTATTGTCTTGTGACAGTTTGACAAATATGAATATTAATCTGTCTTTTTTTAATGAAATATGTATACTGACTGAGGAAGGATGAGGAAGTTAACAGTGGTGTTGTACTGCATAGATTTTGAATAAATGGGATGCTATTTTAGATACAACTGATGTAAGTTACTTTACTATTGTCACTAGCAAGGGCACCCCGCACTTTTTGCATGCTTCTCTCAGTATTTGTGATCAGCTCTTGAAAATTTTCTGTCATCAAGCAATGCATCAGCCCAAGAATGTAGCAATGGTCTTTCTTTTTTGTGGGAGGGGGAGCACTCAGTGTATAAGGGTTTTTGTGATGAGGGGAGGTCACACCCATTCTGGCAGTCAAAAGGTTTGGCTTTCTTGCAAAGCTTCATGTTACTAATGTGTAGTCAAAAGAAAGAAGTTCATTCACTCAAGTTTTGAAAATTAAAGCCTTGTGTGTGTCATGAAAATGTTTCAGCACTTGAGGAATGAAAGATCCACACTACGAAGTACTTATGTTGGTTGAGATGCTTTCAACCTCATTATTACCCAGTATTTATTTGGCAGATCCTTCTCTATTCCATTAAAAAACTGTTTCTCTGTTAAGTTAACCTTTTACCTCCCAGAAGTGATTAACCAGTAACTTCTCCCAACATTATTCACACACTATCCAGCAAACAAGTAATGAGAATACTCAAATGTATCGGGTAGTTATCTTGATCTAACACCAAATTCTCTTAACTTGATTACAAGGAGGTGTGTGACAGCTAGAGGGGAGAATTCACAATCAGATCTTGGGAGTTAAAGGGTTAAGTTATAAAAACACAAAGGATTGCTGGACCAAATATGCAAAGAGAGAATGCTGGGATTATAAAAAGTGGCTGGGAAAATGAGGGGTTCCCTTAACAATAAAATAAAATGCAGGGTTTATAAAAATACCTGAAGGTAACCATGATTATTTAATTTAATGACTGTTTATGAGAGACCAACATCCACCTAAGATAGAGTTTTGAACATGACCCAACTGATCTCGCTTAAGATCTTTTTCCAGTATATATATCATGAAACAAAGTTCTAGATTTGCCACTCCACCTGAATAAAATACTGGAAAATTACAAGAACTCCTGATCTGTCAAGGTTTCCTGATAGTTTTTTAGTCCCCATAGTGAATATATTTCAATTCTTATAAAATTATTCTGATTTTTGGAAGGATGAATTTACATCACAACAATACAACACCTCCACCAAGTCTTTCAATTGTTTTCAATAATCAACACTAGCCAAAATAAGAATATTTTCAACACTTCATTTTAAATTCTTTCAACAGTATCACATCTGATAAAATCAAGTAACCAGGGTTAAAATACTTGTCATGAAAAATTTGATATTAATAGCAAATGTGCTTTTTACCTTCTTTGACACCTGCAGACTACATGCGCAACAAACTTTAGGCTGGGTGCTCACCTCACTGTTCAAATATATATAAATATATATTTTTCTCTGATAAAAATATTTGATAGTTGCTGACACTCATTTTAAGAGAATATTCATATTACAATATATCAAACATTGCAATAAAATTACCAAATTTTTATAATAATTATTCCATCAAACTTTTTAAAAAGGTAATATTGAGATGCTGTAAAATATTGCTTTCACACTGTAAAATGTAAAATACTCATTTAAAAGTCTGTTTTTGATGAATATTTCAAGATAAAAATTCCATTAATATAATATTTCATTTACTTGCATGAAAAGATAATCAAAGAGTCATGAAACTGTGTCACAAATCTGATAAAATTTAACTAATATGCAACAAAAGACACACATGGAATAGATGCAGGCTGGATATCAGCACCATTCCAACCCAGTGACTTTTGCTGCATGAGATATATTTTTCTTGAGACTTGTAATGTGGTTGCATGATGCTTTGATTAACCTTTCACTCCCTAACATCAGCATGCAAATTCTCCACACTGTTCTCTATATATTTCTAATGTACCTATCAGGAGAATTTGTCTAACAATCAAGAGCGTCTTGAGTTTGTGATCATTTCCTTTATTCCCAAGACCTTTTTGTTGATTCAGGGGTGATATTGTAAGGGGAAATAAGATGTAATTGCCCTTAGGGATCGAAAGGTTAACCCTGATACTCCCAGACCAAATTTGTAATTCTCCTTACTGTCAACCATACAATTCTTACAATGTTAGCTCAGAGAATTTAGTATTGGATCAACTGATTATCCCCAAATTGATATTTTTCTTTATTCTCATCACTTATCTGGTTGATATTGTATTAATATTGTAAGGAGAAATTTTGTCTTGGTCACTCGTGGGAGTTAAAGGGTTTACCATTTTTACATTGGAAGAACAACAAACAACAATTCGCCCTTGGCTACAAAACACTGAACTTAAGACTGAATAACATTAATAACCTTTGCACCCTACAGGTAATTGTAGTTACTGAATGAAAGTAAAACAAATACATATAATTCCATTATCTTATATAAGAATATACTGACTAAAAATGAGTAACCTCTGGGAGGAAATAAAAGTCTAGACTCGGGTAACTGGTTTTGAGCGGTTGGCCTTACTGCCTTTTCTTGTGTATGCACGCAGTCTTTCCCTGGCAATCTCAAACTCTTCAAGTCTCTGTGTCAGATCGATTTTCTGGTGAATAGCTTGTTTGAGGAGGTGATTAAGAGTTTTCTTTTCTTCCTCTGATGCAGCATGCTTTCGCTGCAGCTCATCAACTTGAACCAGATATTCCTCACACCTATTGGCATACATGCTGCGAAGTGAGGCAAATGTTGACACTTCAGCTTTCAATGCCTTCAGGTTTCTCTTCAACTGGCCTACTGTCTCTGACTGAACTGCTTTATCATTCTCATAGCGACTTTTTAGATTTGCCAATGCAACCTCATAGGTAGACTTATTAGCCTTCAGGACTGTCCGCAGTGTAGTGATCTGTTCCCGCTTAGTTGTCAATAAACTTTGGAGCTTTGCAATTTGCTGCTTTTGAACATCACTGTCCTCTCCACTGCTAGCATCATCGTCACTGACAACCACTCGATATTCCAGTGCTCGCTGCTTGGAAATTTCCACTGTCTTTTCCACAGCTTGTTTCAAAAACTTCACTTGATCACGCACCGAGCTGATCAATCTGTAACAGGAATAAGGGTCTCCTCTTTCCATGGTCTCATTTGGATTCTCACTTCCCATTGGTGACTGCCTCACTTCTGCAGTGCTTTCTTTTGCAGTTGAATCTGCCGTATTTCTTTCCATTTTTGATGCTGCATGTGACACTTTTTCCTGTTTTTCTTTCCTGGTAAATGAATTGGCTGGGTGATCACCATTTGCTGAGCAAACATGATTATAGAGTCGCTGCAGATCTTCACTGACATACTTCAATTCATCTTGAGTGCAGTTCAGACTTCCCTGAGCATTTCCAGCAAGATCACTCATAGACTTAACATCTTCTTGAAGATTTTTGATCAATTCTTCAGATTCAATGCCTTTGTTCTTTAAATTCAACAGTTCTTCTTCAAGTTCTTTGACTCTCTTTGTCAGGAATGTTGCCTCATCAGATTTTGTTTGCAAGCTCGCTGTCTTTGCTCTCAAGTTATCAATCTCATTCTTCAATTCCTTGATCACAGCTTGAGACTTGTTATCTTTTGTCTGATAGCTCTTCAAGAGTTTCCTTACCTCTTCAAGTTCTTTCAACTGATTATTTATTTTTGAATTAAAAGCTTCTCTCTCTTCAACTCCATCATCACTGTCATCTAGAGTTTCACACAGAACCTTTGCTTCAGTCAGAGTCTGGATGGCATCAAATTCTTCCTTCAACTTCAAGACGTCCTTCTCTTTCTTAGCCAGGGCATTGGTAAGCTCTGTCTTCTCACTGCTCAGCTGTTCAAGCTTGTGAGTCATTTCTTTGACTTCTGACATCTGGAGTTCCCTCATGAGATCTTCCACCAAGCCAGGAACTGGTTTGTATTCCTCAATAATGCTTTTTATCAAGGGATGTTCAACAACTTGTTCAGGTTTTTCAGTCTTCTCAGGACTTTCAATGCCAATAAACCGGCTTTCCTCATGCCAGCTACTGACTGTAGGTGACTGCCGCTGGCGAATTTCTTGCAATTCCTTCTGCAGCAAGGAGTTTCTATCACGTTGCTCCTTTAAAGATTCCAGTGCCTCATTGAGCTGTTTCTGATATTGGTCCCGTTTCTCGCAGGCCACCTGAAGTTGGAGTTGTAATGCTTCCATTTCATCTGTCAAACTTTTGTTTTCAACCTTCAAGGATTCAAACTCCACCATCGATGATCTAAGAGCTGAATATTGCTTCTGAAGGTTGATGTTTTCCTCTTCAAGATCGCTAAATTCTTGACTATACTTTGATTCTCGGTACTTGAGTTCTCGGATTTCATCTCTAAGGAGTTTCTTACTATGCGCAAATTGCTCGATTTCTTTGACATAATTGGAGGCTTGATTACAGAGTCTTTCATTTTCAATGAGTGCATCCCTTTCAGCTTTTCTTGCTTGGCGAACTTCACTCTCTAAATCTGTAATTTTATGAAGATAATTGGCTTCTCTTGATTCGCTCTCCTTCACAAGACTCTCCTCTCTGTCATCACCAAAACGGCTGCGTTTCTCTTGTTCAAGTTTCAACTG